CACAACAGGTGTGGTTTACTGCCTACTGAACGAATATGCACAAGGTTGTTGGGTGCATTTCGTATTCGGTGTTATCGTAATTAGTGACACAGTTTGCTAAGAAGACTTGCCCAAGCTGATGAGTCACTCTTTTCTCGAAACAGAATTTAAATGATTGCTTTCTGACCATTCACAAGCCATCTGCTTGGAAATATATAAAAAACAGTCAGTAATGTGACTCAACCGATATGTGTTTATGCATGTGGCTATGAGCCACACTTGTTAAGTGAGAGTTTACGATGTCACCCAGTTGCACAGGTTAAAATAAGTGATACATGAAAGACCCAAGTTTAATAAGCTGTTTAATGTGCTTAGTAAAAGGAACCAAGAATATTCACCAACTGAATGAATACAAGTTGCTATCATAATAATTGACTCAACAGACATGTACAGGTTCACATACTGAATAATTGACCATATCTACTTCATGAGAGTTGTAATGCAACATGGCTGCGCAAACCTCAATAGGTGGGAAAAAATTTTCAATGTATAAAGTACTAGTCCGAAATCAAGCACTTTATTCATTGTGTCACAATTCCACAGAAATATTTTAGTAAACTATCGGTGATGATTCGCACTCTACACCTGCAAACGTATACTGACTATGAGAAAAACGTAGGAATGATTGAACACAAAAAAAATAACGGACATTCTTGATTGCCATACGCCAATTTTCATACATGGAGATCAGAACAGATTACATCAAATGATTATATGGTCACTGTTTTGCAGTTATGCGAACACAATGAGTCTTGAAGAGTATCGAAAATTCAATATACCACCAAAGTATGTGCCTGAAACAAATCCGTTCAATCCATACAAACTTCTTCAAATAAGAAAACAAGGAATTTACGACTACTTGTAGTAAATGATTATCGAGAGTAAACGATGGCATCAGTACCAAGCCAATTGACACAAAGTATATAGAATACTAATGGTTGATGATGACTAAATAATTAATTGAAATGTTCACGACTAATAAGTTACCATGCAGTAAAAGTATGTTGTCTCTACACCTAGAAGGGTAACAGGCAAGACAGGTAAGTCAAGTGATGAGGTTGTGAACCTTCATCGTCTGACGTGGCTTCGAAATGTGCTCAGCATGCCGAACCACCGCCTACCTCGACGTGCCATCCTGAGGAAAATTGGACTAGGCTGGAAGAGGGTTCACGATGGCCGGACAAAGACGTGGCATCAGTCGATGAAGTCCTACATTGTTGATCCGAGATGTAGACTGTGTGGTTGGGGTGCCCGAGACGAAAGGAATCAATGGTTTAGGACTCTTAGTGATATGGCTGAAAGTTGGTCACAATGGCGCAGAAGTATTCACTTCATGACATCTTTTAAAGCTTGAATATTTGCAATAACCGTTACCTTTAAATTGTTTACTGTCTCGCAAAACCTTGTCCCTTTTGACATCTCTTCTTCCATCCATTTATTCTTTGTATTATACTGTGAAGTGTGGCAACTTAAACCAATGAACTTGTGTGCAAGGTTCTACGTTTATTTTGTCTGTTTGCCTGTCTACTCAAGATGGAAATCATGCTTTATTTAACAGATTCACAGTATAACCATTAATATTCTTCATGGTCGTAAAGAGAGGAAAATTCATCACAAAGATTAGGAGGATCGGGGAAAATAGACAGCACTGTCAAATTGAATCTGGGATTGAAATGCACTCAGTAGTCTTGTGCACACTCGTCCAGTAGGCAATGAACCACACCTATTGTGTGAGAGCCATTGATACTACCTGGTTTGCCCAAACCTTGGTAGGTGGAGGGCTGTTTGAACCCATAACCGATCGGTTGGAAGTCATCTCCCTAGACCAATGAGCGGTGAGAACGTCACATCAGCGTATAAAGAGACAGTAAAGCAGGATGGAAGAGAAGTAAGGAAACGAAATGTAGTTGAATGTGGAAATCCGTAGGAGAGGAAGAGCGGATAAATCAATAACAAAATGTTATATGACGACTAAGATGAAGATAATTTGTGGATGAATCTGAGCTACTGAGACAGATGACTGAATGATATCGTCTACAGTCCCCAATCATCGATTTTGGTCGTCGCATAGACCCCAACCTGAAAGTCTAGATTTCTTTACACGGTCCACACTCGAAGTCAGAGAATCTATGGATACAGTGTTTGATTCTAGCCTCCTTTGATTGTTTTCCAGCCAAAATCTACTTCAGATAACATTGCGTAATGAAGTGTAAGGTAATGAGGTAACTGTTACACATATCCAAGACACCTGAAACGATGAAGTTTATTCTTTAAAAAAAATTCTATTACATAAATAACACACGTGGTAAAGCATGAACAGCAAGATATGTCATGCCAAATAATATAAAACACAAAGAAGAAAAAAAAGTGAGGAGGAAAAGAGAGTGGAAGCTGAGACGAAAGTGGGTTATGGCAACAGCAGTCTCAAAGATGCATCCAAAGAACTACTGACTACTTTCGTCTAACTTTCGACAATAAGAGAAATAAGAAAAATCCTGCACGGTTGCCACTGGTTTCGATTCTGAACAACGTCTGTCGCAACTTGATGTCAGTGAGTTGTTATCTCTTAGGCCCTATCCGGGAGTCGAGGCACCAATATATGCTAGCACAACACAACTGTCCCGCAACCCAATACCACCGTATCATAAGCTGGCCAGTTCTCTGCTTTTTCCATTAGTACCAGGGTGAGTGGAGTGTAGGATTTCGGATCCTCTGAGATGATATTCGTAATATATGTCTAAAGCCACCGAAGTTAGTGTATGAAGATGACCAACTAATGAATGCAGGTCGCTATTACTCACTAGCAGGTGCAGCCTCATTTCGGAGTTGGTGGGTTCGAACAATCCTACGGATGCAACCGTCAAAGAAAATTTAGAATCTTCGGATATCGTCACCTTGTACAGGCCAGGTTTCATAGAGTAGAACTACCCGTACCGACGAGTTGTGTACTAGACAACTTACAACAGGCCTAACGTTAAGACGGAACCAAAGGTGACCCAATTCGATTTACGCTGGTACAGCATTTGGAATGTAGTTACCAATCTCATAAATCGCATCTCTACCAGTACTCAAACAACTACATAGGTAAGTAAACTTTTCGACAACTTTCAACGGCCCATCACTAAGGCTGGGTACAGCGATAGGCTGGTGCTAATCTTGATGCTCGATGATGCAAAGCACACACCTTACTTACGGGCACTTACGGCTAACTAAGTAATTTGAGCATTCTTTATGTTGCCACACAGCAAAACGATATCGTCCGAATACTCAAGGTCGAAAGTTTTTCATCTGGCAGGTTTCCACTACCACGATGCATCTCCTTCAGAGCTGTTTCACGGCTGTTATCAATCGCAAAGTTAAAGAGGAATGGTGAAATCAGACAGCCCTGCATGGTTCTGCTATTGGTTTGGCCCAATCGAGAGGTTTGGTTCTATATCCCTACTCTTTATGAGATGTTACAGCATAAGGTCTTCAAAATGATAACAAACCCAGGGATATCTCTCTATAATAGATGATTCCAGAATATAACCCAGTCTAGAGAATCGAAGGTAGCCCTAATATCGGGAAATATAATGACTGTTGAACAGTAATGCGTGACGGTATTCAAGCATCTGGTGGGCGGAGAACGTGTGATTTGTGCATCCACGAGCTCAACAGAACGTCAATCACTCATCGTTGTTTAGCACATGGAGTCGAGGAAGAACGATGACAGCCGATATTTCACACGCTACTGATGGCAGATTAATACACTGATGACTATCACATACGATACGCGAGTTTTTCTCAAAGTATGGGTTTCGAAGGTTTACGACCCCCTTAAATCCTTTGTTTTTAACTCATCATTTGACTTTTGAGGTACTGAAACAGTGGCTTGACGAAACACCCACAACGCTACGGAGGCAGCAGCGATAGAGAATCTGAAGGTTCCTCACGTCTACCAACCATAATAGCTATGTTTCACAACTGTACAGTAGGACATAACGAGTTGCTGCACTGTACGCGCAAAGTTCAGTAGCCAAGCGGATATCTCATTAGAGTAAGTCGGCAAAAGCCAATCGAGCCTTTTGTTCTGTGCAAAGAATTCGTCAGTCACTGACTTCTCATATCGAGATTTTCAGATACATTTTAACTAGAGACGCATGATCCAGGTACTTGATGAACGACATGATGGTCGACAACTCGCTCAGCTAACACAAGAAAACTATATCAGACTGAAGAGAGTTCACTTTAATCTGAAAGTATGAGTCTACAGGTGCAACTCTTGGGTTAATATAGAATGTGGGCATCCTTGGGGTGAACAGACAAACCAGTATATTAAACGTGAAAATGTAACCAATGGGGAAATAGCGTTCTTAAAATCAGTGAAAGTGAGCAATACACGTGAGGAGAGAAAAATCACAAAAACGATAATTCAAACATTCTGTAAGGTGAATTTATGGAATTTAAGCATAAAATGTTAAGGATCTAGCATTCCAAACACATCAGGATTGATTCGACTTCCTAAGTGAATTAGCCAATGCGTTTGACTTCTTGACTTTGTTGTCAGACAAAATGTCAAGGAAAAGCAGCTATGAAGAAACAATTTGCATTTCGATGGGAAGAAATACATCGTAAAGATTCTTTAATTGTTAATGTAAGGGTAGTACTTGAACACTGTAGAAGTGTGTAATTCTCAGTTACTTTTTGTTGTTGAATATTTCACGTAGTGAAACACTATTATTTACTGGATGATGTTTCGAACAGGACTTATTGTTCATATTCATACCAAAGGTATGATGAATAATATCACCATACAATATTTATAATAAATCACTGTGTTATATCAAATAAACAAATCTAGTATGGAATTACATTCTACCACAGTGCTAAATTTTACATTTATTATAAAGATCAAATATAAAAGATGGAAATTGTAATGAAATCAATCAAAGTAAGCACAAAAGTGTATGAAATAAACTTACTTGGCACTCCTGACACTGACATTCTCCGGTTACATTGGGACGGGAATCATACGGCTTGATACAAAAAGACTTTTCTAGTAGATCATCAATACTCCGAAATGTGAACGTAGTTTATCATCCATTATTTTCTTTAGTGAGAGTAAACTGTGTTCACATGCAGAAGCTGGTGTTAGAAACTGTTCAAAAGAGCTGTCTGAAGGCAAATATGTTAACCGAGACAGACTTCCTTTACATGTTCCAGATTTATATTCAGACAAATATGGTTTATCCAAACGAAAATCCGTATGTGGCAGAAGATACAATAAAGGCAAACGAAAGCACATATCGTGTCTAACATGCTGACGAAGATAAGCAGCACGAGCGCACGGATCGGGTAGTCGATGACAGATAAATTCAGCAAGCTCGGTACTCAATAACTTTATTTCTAGTTGTTCATCAGTTTGTGAATGTCTTTTAGCATTATTCAAGTACATTTGAGTATAAGGTTTACGAAGATTCATAAAACGGTTCATTTTATCAGACGGTTTGTTTGTTTGTTGCTTGTATTTTGTTGGTTTTAATGCTGCAGGAAAAGCAGTAGAACTTAAGACTGAAATCTGACCATCTGTATGTTCAGTAGCAGCTAGTGTTTTGTCAGGTGAATATGTGAGCTTGGCAGTTGCGGAAAGCATTTTCCCGAACAATAAAAATATTATTATCAGAATTCCCGAGCGTTCGGTAGCAGTGGCCTTCACTGATGATGAGCAAATACTTGGAAATAAGGCACAATTGTGTATAGGTTTTGACGTTTGTAGTTATTTGAAAACAAACTGTTACTAGAGTTAAATAGGTAAGAACTTTCTCTGTTGCATAAATAATGACACGGAGAAATAAAAGGAGTACCATGATCTCCTGTGATGCACATGGCTCAGCCTGGCGACCAGATCAACACGACCATGCGCATTGTGCCGTCTCAGATGCAAAAGCCGGGGCTTTATTCTGCTCACTGTTATCAAGAGTTAGTGGGAAATTTGTTTTCAGTCATCTGTATGCAAAAAGATAACATTTCAGTAACTAACTGATACACTCAAGAAAGAATAATCAGAAACAGAAACTCGTTCACACAATTTACCACGTAAACATATTTATGTGAGCTGTTAGTGTGAAGTTTAATGGTGTTCACATATGCTGATTTTCCCAGTGCATCAGAATTACAAAAATATGCAGCGTAATTCAACTAAAATATATCCATACAGAAAAAGCCCTGCGAAGTATGCGGTTGGAAACGCTGTTGGAATATGTATAACAAGGTTGGATAAAAATGAACAGATAATTCTGATAAGAACAACTTGCCCTAAACAAATCATGAAAATTATACCTCATCATGTATATAAATGAGTATGCAGCTATGATGTGCTTATTCGAGAAACTTTTCAGAATTCTACACAATACATCTTGTTGAGAGTCATAGGTCTTAGTCACCAAGATAAAATAAAGGAGGGCTTGGTAAAGTATCTTTTTCATGATCCTTGCGTCTAACCCATAGAACAAAGCCCGACTTACTAATGGGCGTAACACAGAAAATGAAGACCATGGATTTAACAAAATTACTAGTCAAACCAGCTGTGTAATTCACTATGTATGAAGTGATTTAGATATTATAGTAGACCTATTAAAATGGTCGTGTTGTAATAAATGCATTTATTTACTTTGGTATGTCCAGAATTTCAACATTAGTTGTATGTATGTACTTCGTACATACGAGTCAACTTAATCAACTACTAAACTAACATAGAGAGATAGTGACACCTTGGCTGCAGCTGTGGCTAACTGGTCTAAGAAGTTGACCGTCGATCGGGTCGCAAGTTTGAATCCCACTTTGCCCACCGAGGTTTAGAAAGCCAGACAGTATCAGCAGTCCTCAAACAGCAGGTGTAGCTGATTGCAATTTCATCCCTATTTCGACTAAATATTGCTACATAACATGCAAAAACCGTCCCAATATTATTAAATCACACTTTAGTTTCCTAAACCTCACATCGAGGTAAAAAGTAACACGACAAAAGACAAGGAAACGAAAACAATATACAGAAAACCATTGAAAAACGAGACTAAAGAAAACGACTAAACGTGACGCCGATTACGATGTAGATAAAATATGAATGTATATGAGTTACTACAATCAACTACACGTTTTACCTCCTACAATTTGCAGCTACCGATTTTAGACAGTCTCATGGATTCTAACTAAAAAGGCTCTATTTTTCTATACAACTCGGATAAACTGCCAGTTGTGTACAACAACCTAACAACGGTTATGTCTTCGTTTGACCTCACTTTTTTTCCAACCTAATCTTACTTTAGCTAACATAGCATTTTGCGGTGGATGGTGGTATGGGATATATAACACGTGCTGATTAGTTCAGTGAAATGCTTACGACCTAGTAGGATTGTGAGAGGATGGAGAATATTTGTAGCTCACGGGTATGTTTTCGGTGGTGTTGCGCTGAGCTGGATGGTTTAATCGATCAAACAACCTCATCACCTGACTTACCTAAAACTCCGCACAACCTCTACACTGTTTACTCTGGGCTTTGGCCATGTGAGAGAATTCACGCAGAGACTAGTAAAACAGGTGAATTTGGACAGCCAGCAGCGTTACCATTTACCTTTTGATGTTTGGCACACAATCTATGGTGAGATAAAGCTGCACTGAAGATTTAAAACGTCTACCCAGCTACCTATCAATACGTGAACATAATTATTCATACTACTGTTATGGTATTACTGCTGTATTTTTAAGAACAGCTGCTTCTGCAAGGTTGCTGTTTAGTACAATAACTTTTTTCACTATTTCAAAACCACATGTAACCCTTAGGTTAACAGTCTTCAATACCTGAATCTTGATGCAAACTTGAAAAAACGTTTAGTTAAAACTCGAGAAAGCTCTGCCATCGGTGTACATGTATGCCAGAAAGCTGTATACGAGATCCTACTAAAGTGCTTCGTATAATTTTGCAACCGGTTCACTTGGAAAGTATCTACTCGAGAATCCTGTGGAATCCGTATCTGGCTGTAATAGTAACAGTGTCAAAATAAGTACTAGAACTGAAGTTGCATTAGTTAACTTGACTTTACTAGCACACAGCTGTCTTGTTAGCTTATAAAGTTTGGTTGTAGTAGGAAGCTTTTGATAAGAGAAACATTTCGTCATATTTACGTGTGCCCCGACAGACTGTAATTTAGGATTTCTATCATCACCTAAGTGATCTCAACCGAGTGAGCTCTATAGATATTGTACTGTAGATGGAGGATTTAAATAAGTCAGGAGTCTAGACTCAGCGAAAAGTCAACAAGATGGTGAATGGATATCGACTTCCGCAGGATTCACAGATGACAACTTATTTCAAATCAGGAATAACTTTCAGCGTAGACATCGCCATTTTGCCACCTGACACACTTCTGTTGGCACTCGAAAACTAAAAATAGTGCATTACAGTTAATTACCGATGGCACGGGTGTATTTAGAGGTAAAGGTTTCTTTCAGAAAACCAGTTGAAATTCTGACGCCTCAACGTGCTTAATTCATTTTTCATTTGATAGTCACCAGTCATCATGTGAAGTAGGTCGATAAAAGTAAACTGGCAGCACGTTGTGTTGCACGCGAATATCAAATTGAGTTAAATTTGAGACTAGCTGTTGAATTTCTAGAAAGTGTAGACAAGTATTGGCTGCACCTAAAGAACATCAAAAAGGCGGTGAATAAAACGGTTACTGAAAGCAGTCAGTCAGCACGAACAAGGGATATGGTATCACTTCTTAATGATCCACGTTTTCAAACATATCGTCATGTCAAGGTAAAAGGCATACGCGAAAATGTCCCAACCACATCAGTCAATGAAGGTTCACAACCTTGCCAAATAACTTCCCTCTTTCCTCTCAAACTCTAGACCCGACTTTACGTTACTGACACAATGACACCACAACACACGGTCTGTGTTACGAAGGCAGGTAGTCAAATATCTGAACCCTTCTCATATCCTTTACTTTTAATGGCTATGTCTAGTGGTCATTTAGTCAAAAATTGACTCATCAACCTTGGACACATTCGTGCGGTAGGCAACGAGTCACATCTGTTGTGTGAGGGTCATCGATGCTACCTGGTTGCCTAAACCTCGGTAGGTGGAGCAATGTTCGAATTTGTAGCCCATTGGTTGAAAGTCATCTCCCTAATCCAATGAGTCACAACCTTAAAGCCATACAGTAGAACAGAGCGAACTTTTAATAGACAATCGTATACCGCAGCGGCGCCATAAATGGTGTAAGTTGGAGAAAGTGAAACAAGCCTTTTCCATCTGTGAAAGGATTTTGTCAGTCACTGATCCATCAGCGCTGATCCGATTTCCCAGGTAAGTGAAGCGGTCAGACTACTCAACCACTTCACTCCCTATTGTTAGCTGCGGCACACCCGAAAACTAGTCCTGGGACAACAATTTGCATTTGGATGGTGGCGAGGAACAGATCTCAAACATTCTCGAATTGGAACCCATAGTATTCAGAAGACTGCATCTTGTTAGCGTCTTCACCTAACAGGACTAATTCATCCGCGTGTTCTAGATCTACTACTAAGAATTCCAGTGTGATTAGATCATTCCCTGTGAAGTCAAATCACGAGAGGGGAACTTCAATAAGTGCATCTATGATAGAATTGAATAGGAATGGAGAGAGTGGACATCCTTGACGGACACCACTCAATATACACAATTCACTTGATAACTCATCATAGGCTCTAACATGCCCACAGGTGTTCGAGTAAAGAACCGTCAGCGAATGATATGCTTACTCAGTACACCTTTCGGTGACAGACTGTCATAAAACTTATCGGTTGACGAAGTCGAATACCAGTGTCAGGTGTTGGTAGGCGTGTCCCTTTCAGAACCTAGTGAAGTGTGAATATCTGGTTGATACAGCCACGATCAGGTTTTAAGTCTGCCTGGTTTTCTCGCGTTTGCCGTTCCCGAGCTTCACTTGGACGCCTAATCATCATAGAACGTAGAATCTTAGACAATGGGTTCATCAGAATGATTTCCCGTGCTCAACAGAAGAGGGCTTTTCACCTTCCTTGAAGACTGGGACAATCAGTGATTGAGACCAACAAGAAGGGATCACACCTGACTCCCATATATTAGTTAACACTTCAGTTGACTAAAAACCCTCGATTATCGTCCTTAAATACCTCTGGTACTAGCCCTTCTGACCCCGCTGCTCTTCGTCATTTCACTTTACTCACAGTTTTCCCCAAGTGCTCGGAGTCCTATCTCGATGTTTCAGTCAGGCTCCGGCTGGATAGTGGGCAACGCGATGGTAGCTGGAGGTTAGTTGGACATTTCCTCAAGATGTTGCACTCACCATTCCATTTGTCTCGTGTGAGGAAATCGCAGGCCCATCCTTCTCCCCTGTAGTCTCAATAACCACAGTTTGCTCAAAAAGTCTGTCTGTTCTTACCTATTCCCACTGCCTTTGCCATTTCTTTAGCCTTCGCTGTCCACCACTGTTCGTGATCATTGCGTAGACTTTTTGTTGGACTATATTTGGGTTGATTCTGTTTGGAGCCTGTAGAAATGCGTTTTTGCATGCATCTATTAAGTCAGAAAAAGCTGCTGAGATCCACTGACCCCCAATAACCAGTTTC